GACACATATGGAATACCTTAATCAGTAAAGAGAGGAAAAAGAAATCAAGGGTACCAATTAGTATGTTCAGCTATTGATCCCAAATGATCTCTGATTTTCCAAACTGCAGGTAAACCTTTCTCTTTTTTAAATAATTTTTATTGATTTTTTACAGAGATGAAGGGAGATGAATAGCTAGAAACATCGATGAGAGAGAAACATTGATCAGATGCCTCCTGCACACCCCCCACTGGGGATGTGCCTACAACCAAGGTCCATGCCCTTGACCAGAATTGCACCTGGGACCTTTCAGTCCGCAAGCTGACACTCTATCCACTGAGCCAAACCGGTTTCGGCTAAACCTTTCTTAAGTTGTTTGTATTATCAGTCAACCAGCAAGTACTGAAAGTGTTCTGTAGACACAACCCTACTGAGGCATGAGAGGGGAAACATAACTAAGATTATCAGAAAGGTACAAAGGTGGCTTCATCCTGTAATCTTGAAGTATAGAAGGTTTCTTTAAAATGGTTTACATGAATAACTACTTTATAGCGATCTCTCCCCAATGAAAAGAGATTCCATGCCCTTTACATTAAGGGCAGGTAAGAGTGTCGCCTTAATTGTACATACTCTAGTAACACACTATAGTAGTGAAATTAAAAATAAGGAGATGGTCCTAGCCAATTTGGCTGAGTAAATAGCATGTCAGCCTGCCGACTGAACGATCCCAGGTTTGATTCAACTCAAGGGCACATGCCCAGGGTTGCAGGTTCGACTCCCAGTAGGGAGAATGCAGGAGGCAGCCAATCAATGATTCTCTCTCATCATTGATGTTTATCTCTTTCTCTCTCTTCCTCCTCTCTGAAATCAATAATAAAAATAGAAGATATACTGTAATTCTTCTAATGTATCTGTATTACAAAGTACTTAGCCTTACTATCTTTTATCTAACATCTTTATTTATAATTTTCCCTAATTGCTGAACTTACCTCACAAGTATAGAGGTTTGAACTATGTGCTTGCAAACATGGCATAGGAAATTCTCCAGTGATCACTCTCATGGAGATGCTGCCTATCTGCCTGAATGGGGGACACACATGCATTCGTATGAATGTTTAAAAGGGCACGATATGGTGACTTTCCCCCCACATATAAAAAATGGCCAAGAGACTGATGAATAGGGGGCTTCTTTAAGAGGCACCTCTAGTCTGTTAATAAATAATTATATCTCCCCAAGGAAAGTTTGTGTTTGAATACATGGCTTTCTTCTATTTGTTGAATATCTTTGATAGCAAGTACCTCCTATTCACCATACCCAATGCCTTACAAATAGCTAACAATATATATTTGTTTAATGAATTATGTTATCTCTGCACCAGGCATCATTCCAGTTTACTTTGAGCTTTAATAAAACTAAACCAAATGGTGCCTTCCGCTTGAAGAAAAATTGAGCAGTATGCTAATAAGCATTTCACTTTTTGCCTGCAATGCAAAATAATGGGGGATGAGGATATTAAGATTCTGTTATGTGACGTAGTCAGGAATCATTACAAAATTCTTGTTATCTGAACTATTGATGCCTTTGAAAGTGTCCACTGTTCAGACCATGCAAAACAAAAAACAACAACAAAAAACCTGTGATTAATCATCTCAAATGTTCTGCCACTCCAATTTCCATGTTTAGAATGAAGTCAAGCAGTATCTTACTTTAAGCAATGGGAATGTTTAAAATGAACCCCTATGTGTCAGGTGATGACTAAATCAATAATAGAGTCCCCAGTATTCCTGTCAATATGCTGCAGCATAGAGAATCTGTATTCTATCCCTTCTCTCAAAGATGGAGAACACAAAAATTAGTCTGGCTTTACACTTAAAAGATACACATTTTCTTTTCCCTCAAATGTGTTCTTATCTACAAAACTTATTTTACAAATATCCAAATGTATCAATCATGTTATCTCTAAAAAAAAAACTTTGCATTTTGTGAAAGAAGTCACATAATTTTTGTTTAAAAATCCAGTTAGACATCCTTCACTTTGCATAAAGTTGACTGACAACTGTTCATTTAGATCCAGTTTTCTTTATAAATTATCTTGTGTCAGATATTCATAAATGCTTTATATTGGATGGATTTTCAAATTAAGGTACATTCTCACTCAAGAATATTGTTGTATAAAATATTATTGATATTGTTCTATAATTATATGACAGTCACATATTATATTTTATATAATAATTGCATATGCGCGTGCACACACACACATACACACACACAACACACACACATACTGGCCAGGTTCCCACTTCCATTCAGTCAGTTAAGAGAATCATTCCTATTGATGCTTCTGAGAGCTCAATTTTTTTTTTAACTTAAGGGAGTTAATAATGGAAAGCATACAATATATTCTGGAGTCTTTTTCGAGTCCAGGTACTTGCATTTAAAGTTAAGAAAAAATAATAAACATGTATGTTCCAGTCTTAACATTTATTTTTAAAAGCTGAGTAACATTTCTTAGATGTACTTCTCATTAAACAATTGAGAAAAGAAACCATTGTGAAGTCAGTTAAGAGAGAAAGAACTATATGACTTTCACAGCCATTTCTATTTGTTAAAAAATTATGAAATTTTTATATAGCACCATAATTTATTATATACACACAGACATGAATCCATATATGCATATAGATATGTATCATGCATGTGTGTATGTGTGTTACCTATATCATATATGTAATATGTAACTATCTGATTGAAATAATTTTCATCTTAAGGGGGTTTCAGGTTCTTTATTTTTGGATTTCAAGTTCTTGAATACAAACTTTTATTTCATTGAAATGCAGGAGTGTTCTTTGGGCTACAAGAATTAATATGTAGAAAAGTAATGAATGCATTGTCATAAAATAGATTGTCTTGTTTACCATCATTTGTACCATCATCTGTATAGGTCTCTTTCAAATTTGGCAGACGATATTCTTGGAGAGACTGTTGTGTAAGTTATTCAATTATTTTTTAATGATGATAAATTCCAAACTGATGTTTTTTAATGGACTTACATTATTAAAATGTCAATATTACAAAAGTGGCTAAAATGATTATCTCGTGGCCAACTTACATTTATTTTCACTTTAATAGTTTTAAATTTTTTGCTTTTGCTCTGAATTTATAGAACTTGTAAAATTTTTTATAGATTTTTTCAAACCATGTCAAATAATTGGCTAGATAAAACCCATGGATTTCAATGCTGACAACTAATTAAAACATCTTAATAAATGTTATGCATGAATGACTGTATTACTATAACCAAAGAAAATAAATAAAAGATTATACTTCTGAAATAAGAACCTTAAATTTTTATTTCAGAATTATTTTCTTGTTAAGTGGAACTCAGTATTCATGCTAGTTTCAGTCTTTTTACATAAAATTACAAAGCTTCATTTTTCTGTATTTATATGGAATTTTAAATATGAGACCAGAGAAGGATTACCACTACTTTTCCATATCAGATTGTCTTTTCTCCCATAGAATTTTGTCACTTAATTCTTTATAGTTTCATCTTCTACTATAAAATACAATGCATAGCATCATCAGATTTTGTATATTCTATTTCTTAATCACAGTGAACTAAAATGTGTGTGTTTTTAAATTTTCTTTAGCCCAGTTTGAACACTTCCTATCCAATATTTTCTTTTGAAAATTAAGACTAAATTTCAAATTCATGAATCTCTAAAGCACTTATGCATCTTATTCATATAAGAGAGAATGACATATATGTATAATCCTTTGCTATTAAGAATGTCAGGCACTGAGAATTCTTAACAGAGTTGCCTATAGGCCAATTAAATCTTCTACATGATGCCATGTCAGATTTTGCCCCAATTCAAAACACATAAAAACACAAAACAAAAAAAGAATAACATCTACAATTCATAGCATTCCTGTAGCCTTAGCTTGTTCCTGTAGGTTTCCCCTGACAACAACAGTGGCCTTATTATCCTGTGCCCCCTGGGCATCTGTGAGGCATGATGAAGGAAGGAAAGGCCACATCTCTGGAAAAGAGCACAGTCTCCAACTCTCTTCCCCATCTGGGCTCCTGAACGGGCATTACATTAGAAAGGCATTCTGTGCTACCTATGATGTTACATTTTCACAATTAGAAACCCTATTTTAATATGATTTCCAAACATTTAGAGCTTGCCATTTGATGAGATTGAGGGTGAGATCGGCTAATAGAAAATATGAGGCGAATGCTGCATGTGGAGACTGGTTGGCAGTGGGCAGAACTGAGTTACTGAATGGGCAGTAATGGAAATTAATGGATAGGGGAAATCTACTTCAATTTCCTTGGAAAATGTATTGTAACTGCTATGTGCATTAATCAATCAAACTTTTTCAATTATTTAAAAATTGAACAATATGGTATTTTAATTTAACAAGATAACGCCTCATCCTAAATCACATAACTGCATTAGCTATTGCTCTGTTGAATATATTTAATCCATATGTTTTACTTTGGTAATCATCTTTTATGATGCCTAGCAATACATCAGATCAAATGTCAACAACTAATAAAAGAAAGCTATTGAAAAGTCATGCTCTAATTTATAGGTTTGTTTTAAATTGATAAATCACTTTCTTTCAATATCTATTTTTAGAATTTCTCCTTCATATTTTAATCCCATATTAGGTGCTGACCTTTTGTGAGTGGTAATTCAGATACTAAAGTCTCTGAAAATTAAAGGGAGAAATAAGGCACTTAGACTTGAACTAAAAGACAATATAGACTTACTAATATATGGAATATTTATATTTAATTATATTTATCTAAAACACATTCAAAATGATTTATAACCTTTATGGGTTTTCTCTAAATTTTTTTTTAATTACACTTTATGTTACATGTTATTTTGTATTGGTTTCAGGTATACAGCATAGTGATTAGACATCCTCTAACATTTTCCTTAGGAGAAAATCTACTTAAATCTATCATCTCATCTGAACACTTTGGTCACTTTTATTTATCTTTTATTTTTTAAATATATATATTTGATTTCAGAGAGGAAGGGATAGGGAGAGAGAGATAGAAACATCAACGATGAGAGGGAATCATTGATTGACTGCTCCTGCACGTTGGACCAAGTCCTCAACCCAGGTATGTGCCTTTGAACAGAATCGAACCTGGGACTCTTAAGTCCACAGGCCAACGCTCTATCCACTGAGCCAAACTAGCTTGGACACTATAGTCACTTTTAGATACTTAGTCCATCCCCGACGTAGTGCAAGTAAATTCACAATATACTATTTACTTAAAAAGTTGGGGTTGGAAGAATTTTTTAAGGGGACATGTCTGCTGTTAAAGTTCTGTCTGCTGTTAAAGTTCTGGAAAACTAGAAGAGGTCCACTACTCATGAAAAACCCCAAATGCAAAAAAAAAAAAAAGAAAAGAAAGAAAGAAAGAAATGTGCATTAATAGAGCTGTCATGATTTCAAAGGAAAATATTATTTACTTTAAAGCAAGAGCTAAATGAGAAGAGTGTCAAGGGCTGGAATGGAGAAGCCCCCTTATCCTTCTAGCATTGCAATGAAAAGGGCTGATGTTGGGTAAGTCTCTTAGCTCTCTTGGCAAAAGAAGACAGCTTGCATTGTTTGTGATGTCTTTTCTATGAGCCCATATTACTGCGGTTGGTTTTTCTGCTCATTTATCTCACAGTAGGCTAAAATTATGGAATGAAAATATCAAAGGCTAAACTTAGCATGGCGATAATAGCAAAGCATGGAGCTCACGAGTAATAATTACACCTCTCAGTGAAATAATTAAGGAACTCACTGGGGGACAACTTTCTACCTTAGGAAATGGAGTAGTCTTAAGAGGAGAGTTTAGGTGATTGAAAGTACAAAGAAAAGCATTCTAGTACTATTAATAAATTCTTCTGAATAAATGGACAAAGAGCTCTGTAAAGAATGGTGGCAAAATTTCTCAAAAGTTGGCCCTGTCTTTTCTCTTTTATCATCTCCTACACAAAGGCCTCTGTGCATCCTCACTTATGTATGTTATCCAGTCAAGAGAATATGATCCACATTTCAAAGTTTTATATAATGCCTGTGGCAATTCCTTACGCATTGATATTCTTGTTGACATTACTGAAATCTTTTTACACATCTTTTCTACTCTACTCAAACCTCTTTACCCAGTCCACACACTGCGAAAATGGAATTTAGGGATTTTTCTGATCACTAATCCTACCAGCACAGCCCCATCTGTACAACATGCTCTCTGGATTCCCCCCTGTTATGTTAGGTAAATTTACTTTTTATCCATCAGAAGTCAAGGTCAACTCCGTTCATTTCTTTGCTATCCTTCAGAGAAAATTTTGGGGAGTTACTGTGTGTACTTGCTCTTTCTCACTCTCTCAGTCTGATCCCATTGGGCTTTGTCGCCATTATTCCACTAATCGTTCTTTTAAACGTTTCTAATTCCCTTCATTTTGCCAACTCCACTGGTCATTTCTTTATTCCATGCTGTATCATATCACTCTTCTGCTTACCACTGGCCAAATAATTGATATACCGGATAGAATGATATTCAAATGCCTTTCCCTGTCTATAATTCTACTTGTATTGTGCTTCTATTTTCATACTCTCTCCCCTCATCTCCTACTCCCGTTCAGACCCAAGGCCACCCCAACCCCTTTGCCACTTCAGTTGCCTTGCCCTGTGTGTCTCCCCTGCTGAAAGGCTCTTCTCCTTGAACTGCGCCTGGCTGACTCCAACTGGCCTTTCAGTTTCCATGTCCTCATGGAAATTTTGCAAGACCACCCAGTCATGTATACTGTTTTAATTATCTGCAGAGCAGGAATATTTTAATTAATTAAAATATGAATTAATTGATGTTTTAAAACTATATTGACTTTTCTTTCCCAATGATATGAGACCCATAAAAGAAGAAATTGTACTTAAATTCTTTTTAAATTTTATTTATTTATTTATTTATTTATTTTTGCTTCTGCATCTCCAAACTAAAGAATGCCCTGTACATAGCCGGTAGTCAAAAAATATTTTTAATTAACTTTCTCATATTTGTATGTCAAATCTATACATGTAGTAAATGATTGATAAATGTCCTTGGTTGACTTTAGATATTTAAAATGTTTCTTCATGAATTTATCCTAGCTATTATTTTATGATAATAGTTTATCAGTAGTTTTAAGCAGATTTTAATATTTTTCAGGAAACAATTTTACTAGCAATAAACAGGTTTGAGCAGAAAATACAGTATAATTTGGATTTTACCAAACTATTTACACCTAAAAACTCTTTTCTGTTTCTTAAATGTTTTCTAACAATGGTCAAATGACCATTTTCTAACAATGACCATTGTTAGAAAACATTTAAGAAACAGAAAAGAGTTTTTAAGTCTGTACATATATCTAATTTCAAGACTACTCAGGCAACTTTTTAACCTATTTATTCAATAATTATACCTGGATCAAATATACTACCTGCTAGCTAGCATATATGATGCC